AATTGGCCAATATCATGACAAGACATGAATTTGAGTGACAAGTATCTAGACTTAATTTAGGATGTAATGGGAGATCTACAGAAGAATGTTGAACAGGGAGTCCCATAATCAATACAGAAATAGGTAAGACAAATAAATAAAAACTAGAAGACCAATAAGAAAGCTATTTTTAAAAAAAAAGAAAGAAAGAAAAGAAAGAAAAAGAAAGCTATACCAATGGTCTATTAAAAAAGTAAAGGTTACAGATTGGGAGGCAGAGCAAGATGGCAAGAATGTAGAATAAAAAGCCCCACCAATCATCCTCTCTGCAAGGACACCAAGTTAACAACTAGCTACACCGAAAAAAAAAATCTTTAGAATCAAAAATCAGGTGAGTCAGGTTAGCACTCATAGTATTTGGTTTTAACATCCTATCTTTGAAAGAGGCACTGAAAAGGTAGTAGAAGACACTCCCGAATCACCAACACCATCTCATTCATCCCCCGGCAACAGTGGTGTGTTGCAGAGAGTGTTTCTGGGTGCCGAGGGAGAAAAAACACAATTGTGAGTCACAGAGCTCTGTGCTGTTCTGTAAGAGCAGAAAGGAAAACAAGATTAAACACAGCTGATGTCTGCCCACAGGGGAAACATTTAAACCAGCCCTAGCCACAGAAAAGTCATTAATCCCAGTGGTCCAAAATTGAGTATGTGCAAAACTTGCCACTGAGAGCCAGAGTGCTCTCAGCCTCTAAGTAAACTTGAGAGGCAGTCTAGACCATAAATATGCAACTCCTCGATGAATCCTAGGGCTAAACAATACTGAGATAGTGGACTCAGGTGTGGGGGGAATGAGACATCAAATGGGGCAGCCAAGGGAGTGCTGGTATCACCCCTCTTTTAACCCCAGGCTTCAGAGTTTGCAGCTCCAAAAGAGACCCCTTCATTCTGCATGAGGAGAGGAGGGAGAACAGTTGGGAGGACTTTGTCTTGCATCTTGGATGCCAGCTCAGCCACAGCAGGATCCACACTAGTTAGAGTCATGATGCCTCGCATTGCAGGCCTTAACTCCCAGCTGACATTTCTAGACACACCCTGGGCCAGAGTGAACTGGCTGCCTTTAAGGGAAGAACCCAGTCCTGCCAGCATTTATTACCTGATAACTCAAGAGTCCTTGGGCCCTGAAGAGCCAGCAGCCATACCCAGGTACTACATGAAGAGCTTTGGTGAGCCTCTGAGACTTGTTGGTTTCAGGTGAGACTTAGCACATTACTAACTGTGGTGGCTATGGGGCAAGACTACTTCTGTTTGAGAAAAGCTGAGGAAAAAGTTAAGGGTACTTTGTTTTTAACCTTAGGTACAAACATCACCATATGGGGGTATAGCATCAAGTGGTCTCCTGAAGTACCTGACTCTAAAACTTGACCCTTGAACAGCATTTCTGGACCTGCCCAAGACCAGAGGGGAAGGGATATGAACAGTCACTTCTCAAAAGAAGACATTTATGCAGGTAATAAATACAAAAAAGAGCTCATTATCACTGGTCATTAGAGAAATGCAAATCAAAACCACAATGAGATGCCATCTCATGCCAGTTAGAATGATGATCACTAAAATGTCAGGAAACAACAGATGCTGGAGAGGATATGGAGAAATAGGAACACTTTTACACTGTTGATGGGAGTGTAAGTTAGTTCAATCGTTGTGGGAGACAGTGTGGCGATTCCTCAAGAATCTAGTAACAGAAACACCATTTGACCCAGCAATCCCGTTACTGAGTATATACCCAAAGGATTATAAATAATTCCACTATAAAGACACATGCACATATATGTTTACTACAGCTCTGTTCACAATAGCAAAGACTTGGAACCAACCCAAACGCCCGTCAGTGATAGACTGGATAAAGAAAATGTGGCACATACACACCATGGAATACTATGCAGCCGTAAAAAAGGATGAGTTCATGTCCTTTGAAGGGAAATGGGTGAAGCTGGAAACCGTCATCATTCTCGGCAAACTAACACTGGAAGAGAAGACCAAACACTGCATGTTCTTACTCATAAGTGAGAGTTGAACAATGAGAACACATGGACACAGGGAGGGGAACATCACCTATTGGGGCCTGTTGGGTAGTGGGGGTTAGGGGAGAGATAGCATTAGGATAAATACCTAATGTAGATGATGGGTTGATGAGTGCAGCAAACCACCATGGTACATGTATACCTATGTGACAGTCCTGCACATTCTGCACATGTATCCCAGAATTTAAAGTATCATTTTAAAAAGGGGGAAAAATACAAAAAAAGGAAAATAACCCCAAATGGGAAAATAGGTTTTAAAAGGGGGTTAGAGAAAGGGATGGGGCAGAAAGTTTATTCAAAGGGATAATAACAGATAAGTTCACAAATCTAGAGAAAGATATCAATGTCCAAGTACAATAAAGTTATAGACCACCAAGCAGTTTTAACCCAAAGAAGACTACATCAAGGCATTTAATAATCAAATTCTCAAAAGTCAGGGATTCAGAAAGGATCCTAAAAGCAGCAAGAGAAAAGAAAGGGATAACATACAGTGGAGCTTGGATATATCCTGCATCAGACTTTTCACTGGAAACTTACAGGCCAGAAGGGAGTGGCATGACATATTTAAATTGATGAAGGAAAAAAACCTTTTACCCTAGAATAGTGTATCTGGCAAAAATATCCTTCAAACATGAAGGAGAAAAAAAACGACTATTCCACACAAACAGAAACTGAGGGATTTCATCAATACTAAACCTGTCCTAACAGAAATGCTAAAACCAATGCTTCAATCAGAAGGAAAAAGATGTTCATGAACAATGGATAATCACTTAAAGGTTAAAAAAAGTACTGGCACCATAAGTACACAGAAAATCACAGTGTATTATAAAGCTGCAACTGTGGTATGTATACTCTTATTCAAAATAGAAACACTAAACAAGGAACCAATCAAAAATAACAACTACAATGACTTCTAAATATAGTCAGTATTGGATATAAATATAAATAGAAACAACAAAAAGTTAAAAAGCAGGGGTATGAAGTTAAGGAGTAGAGTTTTTATTTTCTTTCTGCTCTTTTGTTTATATAAATAGGTTTAAGTTTGTTATCAGTTTAAAATAATGGTTCATAAGGTAGTATTTGTAAGCCTCATGGTAACTGAAAACCAAAATTCATACAATGAATACCCAAAAATAAAGAGCAAGAAACTAAATCATATCACCAGAGAAAACCATCTTCACTAGAAGAAGACAAGAATGATAAAAAAGAAAGAGAGGACCACAAAACAACCAGAAAACAAAATGACAAAATGGCAGGAGTAGGTCCTTACTTATTGATAATAACATTGAATGTAAATGAACTAAACTTATAATTAAAAGTTGTAGCCTAGCTGAATGGATGAAGAAAACAAGACCCATTGATCTATTATCTACAAAAAAACACATTTCACCTATAAAGACATACATCAACTGAAAATAAAGGGATGAAAAAAGATAATCCATGCCAAAGGAAACCAATGAAGAGTAGGAGCCACCATATTTATATCAGACAAAATAGATTTCGAAACAAAAACTATAAGAAGAGACAAAATAGTCACTATATAATGATAAAGCGGTCAATTTTGCAAGCAGATATAATAATGGGAATACATATGTACCCAACAGTAGAGCACTCTGATACATAAAGGAAATATTATTCGAGAGAAAGAGAGAGATAGACCATAATATAGTAATAGCTGGAAACTTCGAACACCGCACTTTCATCATTGGATAGCTCTTCCAGGCAGAAAATCAATGAAGAATCATCAGAATTTATATGAGGTATAGATCAAATGGATCTAATAGATATTTACAAAGCATTTCATACAATGGATGCAGAATATATATTTTTTTCTCGGCACCTGTATCATTCTTTATGATAGACCATATGTTTTGTTACATCAAAAAAATTGATATCAAGCATCTTCTCTGACCACAAAGAAAAAACTATAAATTTATAACTAAAGGAATTTTGGAAACTATGCAAATACATGATAATTAAACAATATGCTCTTTAATTATCAATGAGTCAATAAAGAAGAAAGAAATTGAGTACTATCTAGCAACAAATGCTAATGAAAACAATATACCAAATCCTAAAGGATACAACAAAAAGCAGTGCTAAGGTGGAATTTTATGGGTATAAGTGCCTAGATTAAAAAAAAAGAAAAACTTTAAATAATCTAATGATGCAGCTTAAAGAATTTAAAAAAACCCAGAGCAAACCATACCCATAATTAGTAGAATAAAATAAATAATAAAAGTCAGAACATAAATAAGTGACATTGAAATAAAGAAAATACAAATGATCAAAGAAACAAAAAGTTGTTTTTTGAAAATTTAAACAAAATAGACAAACGTTTAGCCAAGGAGACATTACAACTGACACAGCACAAACTCAAAGGATCATTAGTGGCTACTATGAGCAACTTTATGTCAATAAATTGGAAAATTTGAAGAAATGGACAAATTCCTAGTTACATACAACCTACCAAGATTTAACCAGGAAGTAAAACAAAACATGAGCAGACAAATAACAAGTAACGAGATTAAAGAAATACATGCACTCCAATGTTTGTTGCAGAGCTGTTTACAAGAGCTAAGATTTGAAAGCAACTCAAGTGTTCATCAGCACATAAATGATTTTTAAAAATTTGGTGGATATATACAATGAAGTACTATTTAGTCATAAAAAAGAATGAGACTGGGTCATCTGTAACAACAGGGATGGACCTGGAGATTATTACGTTAAGCTAACTAAGCAAGGGACAGAAAGAAAATTATTGCATGTTCCCATTTATTTGTGTAATTTAAAAACCAAAACAATTGAACTCATGGATATAGAGAATAGAAAGATTATTACTAGAGTCTGGGAAGAGTAAAGTGAGCTGAGGAGGCAGTGGGGATGGTCAATGGGTACAGAAAAGTCGAGAAAATAACATGTATTATTTGATAGCACAACAGAGTGACTATAGACAATAGTAACTGTAGATTTTAAAATAACTTAAAAGAGTATATAATTGGATTGTTTGTAACTCAATGGATAAATTCCTGGTAGGATGGATACCCCATTCTTCATAATGTGTTTATTTCACATTGCATGCCTGTGTCAAAACATCTCATGTCCTCCATAAATATATATACCTACTATGTACCCACAAAAAATTAAAATTTCAAACAAAAGGGTTGTAGGAGCCTGACCACAGAGTTAGCAGTGAGAATGAAAAGTACAAAAAGTTAAGACAAACTTTTAAAATAAAAACTCCATAAAAATTGATAACTTATAAGTATCACAGGAAGCAAAATGTTAAGAGGGAGAAATTTAAACGTTTCCCCATATAGGGCCAGCAGTTGTGCTCAAGGGTGTTGTCAGTATCAAGAAGACTACTTGGGAGGAGTCTTAGTCAAGTTCTGCAGAGCATGAGGCAAAAGTAGAAACCTAGCACAATGTAACAACTTCAGCCAATTAGGTAGGAGCTAGTTTGTCTTAATGACTCGGAGCGGGTAAACAGACAAAACTAAGAAATCAGCTTGCAAATTAACACAATACCTGTATTGCCACAGCTAGCATGAAAACATGCTTTTTATTCTTCAGGAAACTCTATTTGCCATATATATATATATTTTTAACATATTTATATGTTAAACCATCATTAAGTTCATTAAGTTAATTAGTAGTCTTCTTTCGCTTCTTTGTATAACTTTTTCTTGACTCATTAGAGATACTTTGGCAATACATAAATAATAAATAATGGGTCCAAATGGCATAAGACTCTAGAATTACTGGACCAAAATTTGACATGTCACAAGAATCAGCACTCACATCTAGCCAGCTTTAGCCACAAAAATATTTTGGTTTCTCTGTAGCACCATGGGAAAAAAAATTGAATTGAAAAGAAAAAGAAAAATTGTTTCTGATACTTATATAGAAATTGTTACCCATGAACTAAAAAAAGTAATTTTTATTAGAGGGCAATATCATTTAGAAGGTATTATCAGTGAAAAAAATATAATCTTAAACACATACCTGTAACCTCTTTCATTCCTCAGGCAAATAGCACATGTACAACAAAAGCCCACAAGTGTGTGATCATATTTACCTGTGAACCTTAGCTTTCTTTTCAAATAAGTAGTTCCTTAGCAGGTTCCAATAACCGTAGTGAGCACTTTGAATCTAACAGAGAAGTGACTGAGGGCCATTTCAAGTTTAAATTACAAATGATTAATCAATATATCACATTTAATTTATTTTTTGCTTGACATTTGTATGGTTTTACTGTGTCCCCACCCAAATCTCATCTTAAATTGTAACTCCCACAATTTCCATGTGTCATGGGAGGAACCCAGTAGGAAGGTGACTGAATTATAGGAGAGGGTCTTTACTGCACTGTTCTCATGGTAGTGAATGTGTCTCATGAGATCTGATGGTTTTAAAGGAGTTTCCCTGCACAAGCCCTCTCTTTGCTTGCTGCTATCCATGTATGATGTGGCTTGCTCCTCCTTGCCTTCTGCCATTATTGAGAGGCCTCCCCAACCATTTGGAACTGTCAGTCTATTAAACCTCTTTTTCTTCCCAGTCTCTGGTATGTCTTTATCAGCAGCATGAAAATGGACTAATACAGAGTGCTACCCTTTTAAATAACTAGGCCTTAAGTTATTAAAGGAGAATCTTGGAATAAAAATTAGCTACCTTTATTAAATTGATGATTATAACAATCATTCAAATTAAAATAAAAAAGTGTTAAGATTAAATGGAACTTCAGTACAATTACATACATATTATCTGGAGAGTCAAGCACCTAGTATTGAAAATGTATGGTGCATTAATATTTGAGTTCAAATACATTTTGCTACCATATGAAAATAATATATTATTCACAACTTACACTTTTAAACTAGAGTATGTTCACATAGTAACTTTGTATTTTTAAAGTACATAACACAATATTTTTTTCATGGCTAATAGAAAAGCAAAGCACAAGCAGGTATGAATCTAAAGTTATCCAGTACATTCAAGCCCTAGGTCACTAATTAAGTGCTCTACACTTGATCCAGTAATTTATTTTCTTCTCCCTCTAGTATCTGTTTTGGTTTGTATAACTTCCAATGTTTTATTCATTACTAAGAAGAAAAGAAAAGCTTAACTCTTATGTGTCAAAACTGTGCATTTATTTTTTTTCTTCTTACTTTAAGTATTCTATTTTTTCATGCTCTTCCAGAGTCTTCTGTTTTATTTTTTTCCACAATTCATAAAACAGATGTACACCTTTGATGATGTTATGACATTTTTCATACAGGCTGTCTACTAAACAAAAAGGTGCACTAGGGAACCGAGTTAGCTATCTAAGTATTATTCTAACATTATCTGGATAATGATCTCATTTTCCTCCCAAACATTCAAGTTCTATTTTAAATTATTTAGCCTGGTTCTTCAGCTAAAGTCATAAGCCAGTTTGTTTTATATCATTTATTTACTCTATTGTATATATTATCATAATGACACATTCCACCAGGCTATGATTCCATATTTTCACCAATATAGTTCCAATGATAATCATATGGCTCTGATCAAATTCTTCAGAATTTCAGAAAAGTTTATTCAGTGGAATATTGGTCATTTTATATATGTGTCATTTGTACCTTTTGAAATTTTCTTGTGGCTATATGGGCAAAATGCATAACACATTTTATGTTTTATATTTTTATTGATTCATGGAAACCTAATTTGGCATTACTATTAGTTCATTATAATGGAAAAACTCTGCAGATGTATATTTTCAGAATCAGTGGCACATTGGTTTACACCTGATAATATTAAATCCATTTACATATATACAGACTAAAGACATGTAAGGAGGAGATGAATATCATGTAGATACAAATTTTAAAAAATAGGATAATGTAGCTCTCCAAATGTGAAAATAATTACACAAGTGTACATTAAAAGTGATGACTGTTACACTTGAAGTTCTGGATTTTTATTATGATGTTTAAGTAACTGATCTAATATAAAACTTTATTAAAATAAATCTGACAATATTTTATTAATATATTTTGTTATAATAATAATAATGCTCATGACAGAAAATGGAAACAATACACAGAGTATAAAGTAAAACAAAAAAGTTCTATTCAGCTCCCTGTCTCACTTGTCAGAGAAACATACTGCAAACAATGTATGCATTGTGCTAGATAATATATGCATGCTAAAATATAAATATTATATATACACACATATGCACAAGGAAATATACAAGATAGATGATAGATATACAGACAGACTTGGTGTGTATATATACATAAAATATGTTCGTATATAAATACATAATATGAAGGTAATTGTCCCATCCAGATTATTATATAAACTAATGTTTTTGCATAACATATTGTGAAAATATTTCTGCACCTGTGTATATAGATGGTTCTGATTTTTTTGAAGTCTATTAGAATTTGATTTTATGAATACACTATAATTTATGTAATCAGTCACCTATTTTCAGAAAAGTTATTCATAGCTTTTACCATTAAAAATAATAAAACAATCCTTGCACATATATACTAATGTACTCTTGTGACCATACCTATAGAGCTACTTTACAGTGGTGGAAATTGAAGGGAAAATGTTAATTTACGTTGGACAAATTACCATCTAGGAAAGTTGAATCAATATGTAATTAAATAAACAGTATTAATGCCCATTTACATATATCCTCACCCAAAATAAACATTATTAAACTTTATTTAGAGTGATTAAATGGTAGCTCATAATTAGTTGTGATTTTATTTTGTTTATTAATAATTGATGATGAGTACATTTTAAAGTACTTATTTTCTATTGGTATTTTTCTGCAATTGCCTGAGCATCACCTTGCCTCATTGTTTCTCTACCGGATTATTCAAATTGTGATTTTTGATTTACAAGAGCTCTTAAAGAAAAATTTATTTTTACCAGAAAATATTTTTTAATGTCATTTGACACTCAAATGGTATTTTTCAATTAAATAATTTTTTAGTTGTTATTCATTAAATTGTATTTTATAGCATCTGAACCTTACAGCATCTTTCCTCAAACCAAGTGAAAAAAAAAAAGGGATGACTCTCTCTAGTTCTCTTTGTTTTCTTGTTTTGTTTTAACAGGTTTATTAAGGTATAAATTACCTACAAAAAGCTGCACACTTTTATTTTTATTTTTTACTCTTCCTGCCTAGAGACGAAACTGCATGCTTTTAAACGTACAATTTTGATAAGTTTTGAATTATGTATACACTTGTGGAATCCTCTCCACGATCAAAATAGTGAACATAACCAACACTCACAAAAATTTTCAGGTGCCCTGTTTTAATTCTCCCTTCTTGCCCCTCTATTTTCCATTGTCAAGCAACTACTGACCTTATTTCTGTCACTATACATTAGTTTGACTTTTCTAAATTTTTATGTAAACAGAAATAGGTAATATTTATGTAACATGTAAATTTTATATAATATGTAATTATTTTTATGTAAATAGTATTTTTACCTGAATACTTCCAATAAGCACAATTATTTTGAGATTCACTTATGTTGTGTGTATCAATTGTTTATTTATTTGTATTGCTGACTTGTATTTCATTGTATGGATATAAAACAGTGACATTGATTTATATCCATACAATTGGATATAATTGATACACATTTGTGTTGTTTCCAGGTTTTGATTATAGACATGCTGCCATTTCTTTTGGGTAAATACCTAAAAGTGGAATGTCAGAATAGTAATGCAGATGTATGCTTAATATGTAAGAAACTACCAAAATGTTTCCAAAGTGTTTGCATAATTTTATAGCCAAACTAGCAGTATGTGAGAGTTCCAGTTGCTCCATAATCTTGTTAAAGTTGGTGTGGTAAGTCTTTTTAATTGTAGTCTGGTGTGTAATAGCACATTGTGGATTTAATTTGCACTTTTCTAAAAAAAAAAATTGAGCTTATTTTCATGT